GGGTTTGTCTTCCCACTGCAAAAGTACCAGTTGTTTAAAATTGTTTTCTCCTTGATTTCTACCACACGATTTCTAACAAATTGTTTCCACTCGTTGGCAGATCCCTTGATCCAGTGAATGCAAATTTGGGAATCAGTCCAGTAAAATATATTTCCCTTATCCAACTGCGGAAATATCGATTGCAAATACGAACCTAATCTTGCAGAAATTAATGTTCCCAAAAGTTCAAGCCTAGGGAGTGTTACCCTTTTTAATGGAGCCAAACGGGATTTCGACATTATGAAACTTGTTTTACATTTATTTTTCTTCTTAAATCTAAAATATGCTACGGCACCATAACACTTGGGACTGGCATCAGAAAATATGTGAACTTCTATAAACTTCCAACACATATCACTGAAGTACTGTCTGGGAATTTCGAAAAACTTTATTTTTTCAACTTCTTTTAACCATTCCTGAAATATGAATTCTGTATCAAGGGGAACACTTTCGTCCCATTGAATACCCTTTTCCCACATAGTTTGCATTAAGAGTTTAATTCGAACAGTAAATGGATTCATAATTCCTAAGGGATCAAAGAGCATACCACATGCTGCTAAAATGATGCGTTTAGTTACTTTGAGATTTTGTAACTTCTCAAACTGAGATACATCTATTTTCAAATTATCATTGACATTGTCCCAGATAAGACCTAAAACTTTCAACGGTACCAAAGAGTCTTCAGATGTTTCACGAGAGTCAATTCCATTAAGTTTCCATAGTTCATTCAGCTCAGGTGAGTTTGAAACCCATCTACGTAAATTCATACTGGCCTCGCTAAGAATGAAAATCATGTCCTTGCTTAAATGTAAGGCCTTTGCTACATTAACTGTCCCAGAAATTAAATCATCTACGTAAAGCTCTTTTAACATACTGCATGCCTCTTCGTAGGCATCTTCATACTTTTTTAAATGCAGTCTTACTGTAGCTGTTAATAAATAAGGTGAGCACTTGACCCCGAAAGGAACTCGATTGTGTTGGAAGAACTTGTAAGTTGGAATTACTGTGATCGAGATTTGACCCTTCTTCATTTATCCACAAAAACTTTAAAAAATCCCTATCTTCTTTAGCTAAGCCTACCTCTAAAAATGCACGCTGAATGTCGGCACAAAACGCAATTGAATGTACCCTGAATTTAATGATAATCTTTAGCAAATCAGGATTTAAATTAGGTCCGCTTTCCAAACAATCATTAAGTGATAAATTTCCCTTACTTTTAGAAGAAGCGTCAAAAACTATTCGAAGCTTTGTAGAATCCTTCTGCTTGCGCACTACTACCGCGTGATGAGGCATGTAATACCCCGTTTTCAAACTACTATTTAAATACGTATCTACCCGTTCCACTATACCATCTCTCAAGTGTTCATTAATTATCTCATTATATTTTAAATATAGCTCGCTATTTTTCTGAAACTTATTATTTAAAAATTGTAAACGCTGTTTCGCGATTTCATAATTGTTATTTAAACCTTCAACACCCTCTTTCCACAATAATCGAGTTTCATACCTTTTATTCTTGTAAGTTGTATTTCGTTCAAATGACTCTAAAATTTCTTTATCTGATAGAGATATTTCTTTATCCGAACTTATCCCAATTGCTTCTAATTCCCATAATTTTTTAACTCTTTCATAATCTAAGTCCTCATTTACAACGGTTATATGATTAACTCTTGCGTCCTTACACTTTGATCCTTCGTCCTTGCCTTGAATCACAAAACCGAAAGTGCTTTCTGTTGCGACTAATTTTTTACAAATCTTCACGTTTCGTTCTCCTAAAATTTCCCAAATATAATCCGAACCTATTAATACTTGAATTTCGTCACTCGTACCAGCATCTGCTAATTCTATTCCCTTCTCAAACGCCATCTTTCGTATCCACCGAGAAGGAACTTTTACTTGCCCTAGTGTTATAGAATCAATGACTATTGCGTTAATTTTTATCTTTTTACTTGGGATGGCTTACATTTTGCAATACGATTTCTACGATATCATACAAGCGCTCTTTTGCATCTTTGCATCCAAATGTGAAAATAATAAGCGCTTCTTTATTAATAATTTTCAAACCCCAGTGAATCAACCACTTCTCGTAAGATGAATGACTTTATCTAGCATACAACGTAATACCTTTTCGTTCCCCCCTTTACACCTAACTGTTGCCGAAAACGTCTGTAAAAGAACGGAAGTCGGTGGTTTAATTTTGTTATTATTTTCATTACATAAGAGCGAAAGAGAAGCTTCAGGGATTGGCGTTTGTTTTGTCTGATTGGAAGTATCCGTCTCTAAATCTTTCGATGCGGCGTCACATATTAACGAATTATGTAAACCTTGGACATTGCACAGTCTGCATTTTTCATCTTTATGAGCACAGAAACGCCTTGGATGCCCTTTCGAAAAGCAAATAAAACATAAACCTCGATCCATTAATGCCTTTCGGCGAGCCTTTAAATCAAGTGCGCAATCATGATTCATATGACAAGCAGATAAACAAAATATGCAGACATTTTGATTCTCTTTCTTAGGCGGGGTAGAGAACTTTCGATTTGGATTAAAATGTGATTTTTGAAAGTATTTAGAGGGAGTTTCGCTTTGACTAGTTAATACCGAAGCACCTTGCTTATTCGTACTGTAATCATTTCTTTTAGAATGCATGTAAGATTTATTTTGATAACCTTGATGGGAACTTTTGTTTCGTATTGATGTTTCATTTACATCAAAATTCTTAGAACGCGCTAACATCATTGATGTTTCCCTACATTCCACTTCCGTTTTCAAGAACGTTAGTAGTTCATTAACATCGAAATTTTGTTTATCACTTCTTTTCCTAGTGAATTCTAGAGTTAAATTCTCGGGTATTAACTTTAACAAAATAGGGGATAATAAATGTCCATAAGAACCACTAGTAACATTTAAAGAATTTAAATTCCTTATTTGTATTTCTATATCGTCATAAAGCTTCCTCAAAGAAGCCGTATTTCCGGAATATTTTACAGGTTCTAAACTCAACAATTTATTCATATGCGCATTAATTAGCAGGTCATCTCTGCCGAAACGGTTTTTTTAGTATATCAACAGCCACCGTATAGTTTTCACTAGTAAATGTTAATCCACTAATAGCATTTAAAGCTAAACCTCCCAAAAGCGATTTTAAATAACAAAACTTGTCAACCGAACTGAGACTTTCGTTTTGGTGAATGGAATTACTAAACTGATTCCAGAATTCAAGCCAAGAACAAGGATCACCGTAATATTTTGTAATCGTTAATTTTGGCAATTTTAAAGTATTAACTTCACAAGTTTTCAACTTCGGAGATATAGTTTCCTCACTAGAATTTCTAGATTCAACTTTACACGCGTTTTTTCTTAATTATACCTGAATTTTAATTTAAACTTATAATTCTTTCCTGATATTCCTGCGCGGAAATTACTTCTGTTTCCAACTCCTGTTCCGTAATTATAAGTTTTTCAATCTCAGAATCGTATTGTTTCAACAACTGCGATTTTTCAAGTAACATTTCGAGTAATTCTTTTAATTTCTCATCCGCGGTTTCACCCTCTTCTAACAATGCAGAATCTATTTTACTCATCAACTTAGTAGTTAAGCTTACGCGTCACCGTACGCAACTTCTTTGCCTTATTCATAGCCTCCATTTTACCATTAGATTCTATCAACTATAATAATCACCAAGATTTTTATTCAACAATTCTATTCAAAACTGGAAAAATGAAAAAGGGCCTACCTCGAATTTCTTCGCGTTAAATCCTGGCTTTTCAGTCATGAACTCACTAATTTTCTTCGTCCATTCTTCATCTCCACAAATCAAGTCCGGTGTCACCAGAAAAAAAAAAAAATGTATGTACGTATCCAAATGATCAGAAGGTTGTTGATGCTTGTTCCTTGATCTATTGCACCAAGATATTTTACTGTACATTTATTTACAATTTATTTACAAGTCGTATGCCACCTGGCATGTTTACAAGCGTTATGCCTCCTGGCATGTACATGATAGACATATTCTGCCACCTGGCATGTGAATTGATACATCATACTAGTTTTCTGCCACCTGACAGATACGATGCAATTACCTCAATTAGCGGTAATACGCCCGACATTTTGGCGTGTCCGCTTCCCTTACGTTCTGTAACGCAACTAACTTTTTGTGCGGTGCGCCCTCTGGGCACAAATCACCGCAATCACCGAGGAGGCCAAAAACCTATATTTCAAATGAGAAAAATAGAAAAAAGTTTGAGTCCGCTCTTTTTTTTTTTAAATTGGTTGATAAAAACTGAATCCAAACCTTCAAAATCTTTAAAAATGAAAGTTTAAAGCGTGATATCTTTAAACTATATTTGCTTTTTGAGGAAAGTTTAAATTTTAAGAAATTTTTAATTAATTTATAATCACAGTTTTTTCTTAAGTTGTCAAGAAAAAGGAGATTCAGATAAAAATCAAGGTAAAAGAGGAAAGTAATTATTTAAATTCTTTCAGTATTAATTCTAAAAAATACTGTCAAGCAAATGGTATCAACCAAATGAATTGTCAGTTTTTTTTAAAAAATTTTTACTGCAGTTTAACCCTTTGAGCGCCATGGCCGACTTTATCCGGTCATGAGATTCTTTGTCATTTGGTGTATATTAGCTCATAATTTACGATACTTTGCTTTCGTACTTTCTTTGAAACTTTTTACTTTTGTATAAATATCTTAATTAATGTAAGTTTATGAAAATAGAGCCTAAAGTAAGTAAATATACAAATTTAGCTAATAAAGGCTCTTTAAATACAGGTCTTCATGACAAATCCAAAAACCAGAGCTGCTCAAATGTTATGTTAATTTAAAATTTTTGATAAATGTGTTGTATTGTTGCAAAAAATTAAAATATCAAATTTCAACTTAATTTGCTAACTCAAAAATTTAATATATCCTAAAACAGATCTCTTTAATGTTATGTGTACATTGTAATAGGTCTTCAAGGTCCTGTTCGTGGAGTAGGTGGACCTTCTCCCCAGGTTATGACTCCACAAGGACGTGCTGCTACTGCTGTCACTGCTCCACCACAAATGCGCCCACCTCCTCCGGGACCTACTCCACAAGCTCAAAGAATGCCTGGACCTCCTATGCCAGGAAGAGCTGGTCCACCACCAGGAATGATGGGACCACCACCAGGCATGATGGGTCGAGGAATGCCACCTGGAACTATGGGACGAGGAATACAGCAGCAAATGACACCACCTGGTATGAGAGGCCCACCTCCTGGTATGATGCGAGGAGGTAAGTAACACTTAAGTAAATTCAAAGTGTTGTTATAATTTGTATCTTGTATAATATTGTATAATCTTATACCATTATCTGCAGAGGCTAGAATTTTTTGTGGAAAGCAATCCACAATTTAATGCATAGAAAGGTCACACGATGTTGAAAATGAAACATAGTGTGACACTCATAGAAAAAAATCTTTTATTAAAGTTAATTAAAAAAAAAGAAATTTATGCTTTCTTATTTATTACACCAAGTCAGGAAAGAGAAATGAATTAAACTTATATTTAGCATTTCAAAATAAGAAAATGCTATTACAGGCTTAAAGAAATAAAAAAAAATCATAATCAGCACATGGTATTAAGAAAGAGTATTGTATCGATAGTTGCTGTGACATATCAGTTTTCACCAGGTTCCATCAAACTTATTGTGATTAACTCTGTTTTGATTTTTTTTTTTTTTTTTTTTTTTTTTTTTTTTTTTTTTTTTTTTTTTTGCATATAAGTAAAAAACATCTGTGTTTTTAATTTGTCTGTTCTAGAAGAAATTTAAATTGATGTATTTAATTTTTTCATCAATTGTACAATTGAAATGTTCTTAACAAAACATAATAACATTAATATACTGTGTTGTCATCATTGAATTCTGTGTGTACTACTGAAGATGTAGATGTACATTCTTCATTTCAGTGATAAAATTTTTAACCTGTTTATGGATAGGCTGGCTAATTTGTAAGAAGTCATATGATATCATATTTAATGGCACCTGCTCATAAAGCTCTAAATGCACTATTGAACAAGCTTGAAAAATTTCCAAGTCAAGGACTTCAGGGAGTTCTCTTTCCTGAAGGCACAAATCATTATCTGTAGTGATCTTGTCCAAAAATCATAATCAGCTTTGTTATTTAATATATTTGTTTCTACTTCTCCTTTTGTTCAGAGGTCAAAAGATGAAAAACAGTATGCTGATATTAAGATCCTCTCTTAAAATATTCTGACAGTGATTTCTGGAAAGGTTTAGGAGTGATATTGGTGAATACAATGTAGAACCAAATTTGTGTTTTAATCATGCTGTAGCTGGTTGACCAAAACAGTGATTTTCTGTGGCTCTTCCATCATTTTTTAATTATTAATAGTGCTCAGATTTCGCAGTTACTCAAGCACTGATAAAATTTAATATTCTTAATTTTGTTCCTTGACTCACTGGATAAAAACAACTTAAACAACCTACAAGCAAAGTTTAACTCCTTCCCATGGGTATGCCAACTTCAGACAAGAATGTATTTCAGTTGGAATAACTTGAAATGTATATCTGATAAAATTTTAAAGAAAATGGGAAAACTCCCCCCCTTTTCACTAAACATCGTATGTATTTATCTACTAGTTTATCTATCTTAATAGTACACTGTTTTAGCCATGGTTTCCACTTAATTTGTTTATTTAATGGGTCTAATTAATCGGTCTAGTTTTTTAACTGAGATTTTACCTATTTTGCAATCCTAAAATAGTACAAGCTTAGATTTCCCACTTTTTTTTAACTAATTGTTTTCATCTGTCCAATATTAAGAAAAGAGGAAGGATGTGTATACAGTTTAAGAATAACTGAATTCAGATGCTTTCATTGTGTCTTATTTTATTTAAACTTGGTAGGTGAATAAGACTGGGAAATTGAACGAAAACAATGGAATAAATGTACAAACTCAAAATCATATGCTAAGTAGAGTTTCTGTTTGGCTTTGATATTGCTTACCTGGATAAGGTGGCAGCTAAAAGAAATTTGACAATAGAATTGCCTAAAAGAATTTTTACAGGCACTTTTTGAGATTAATTCTGTAAAAACAATCAACATTTATATTTAATATCAAAGGGCCCACCAGCAGCCATGTGGTAAAGTCGATGAATACTGGTATTTCGGTCCTGGGTTCAAATCCCGGCGAATGGGCTATTTTGTGGTTTTCCCCATGTGTAATATGTATCCTTTATGCCAGTTTCCTTTAAAAAGGTATCCTTCCACTTAAGCAGATGGTCTTCAAGTGGAATAAATAATTTTAACCCGTTGCCTATTTTGCACAGAAAGTGGACTAAGATTTGCTTGGGTGTCATACACCTGAATGTGAAAGGAAAGAAAAGAATGTTTATCCTGCCATGTTTAATTTTTGAGTTTAGTTTTTATCATTTTCCAATTTTTTGAAAAATTTTATTTTAGAATTTCAGTGTTAGTTCTGTGTAAAAAGGGAGTTCAGTTTAAGGAACTACAGTTGAAAGTATCAGTTCTGAGAGCATTTGATCAATTCTTCTGATCCCACCTCCTTGTTCGATTCTTTTCACTCTGTAGTCTAACATTGCTAACCAGTCCCGATCCCTCTGCTCCTTTGATTCATTTTTCTCTTCTTTCCATCCTTGCTGACTGCTTGATTCACTCATTATTCCAGATCTTTTTCATCAAGGTTGTTAGTGAAGTGATAGGTGAGTCATAAAAATGAACTGATTCATTTCAGTGAGTGAACTGTTCAGATCCAATAAAAAGAGCAGGTTTGCCCATTTCCAATAGATGTTTGTTTTGTAATTATTTTATGAATTTTAATTTCACTAAAATACTATATTATATATTATGAGGATCCTGTTATATGTGATGTTTAAATTTCTTATCTTTTGACTTGTTTCTATATTTCATATTTCTATTTTTTCATACATTTTATGTTCTCAAAAATAATTGTAATTTTGTTTTGTATTTTAGCACCACCTCCTGGTATGAGACCACCACATCCACCACGTGGCTGAATGACAGAAAAATAAAATTTGTCAATTTTTATCCATCTTTTGCTATACATTATCAAGTTTTTGCTTTGTTTAATTAATGCTGTAAATTATTCATTAATTGCTGTTAAATAAACCATGTTTAAGTCTACTTTTCTTTATCCTGCAGTTAAATCTTGATATAGTGATTTTCGAAGAACTACCAAAAATTATCATTTTAAATTCAGTTTCAAATATGATTGCTCTTTAATTTTGGATATTTCCATTGGTAATAACCAAAAGATTTCAGGCCAGATCAAGGAAAGCAAAAGTTAAATCAAAGTGTGCTAGATTATATCATACATCTTTTCATCTGGCATCACTGCACAGCCAGATTCTGTTGATTTATATTCAAATGATAATGCAAAACATTCAAATATTCTTTGCATAATATACAAAGCAGTTCACTCTCTTAAATTCATTTACAGTTTGAAAAATATGATCACAAATTATCTATTTCTCTAACAGATTCATAGCTTCTACTTGCAACTGTTAGATTGTTAATTTCATTTTTCTGTTCTTCAATAACTGATTTAATATCTGTTTAAGCTACAGTTTATGCCACTGCCCCCAAAAACTTATCAGGACTAAAAAGACTTCACAATTGAAATCAGGAACTACGGTATCCCAATGTTCTGGAATCGCCAATGTATAGTTATCAGCTTTCTTTCAATCATTTAGTCTCAGAGTTTTCAATTTTTAACCTTTACTGTTTTCCAGGAACAAATGAATTTTTTTAAACTAAATTGTGAAAATTCTATTTTATCATACTATATTAGTTAAAATCTGTTTAGTAATATTGTTTTACGTCAATGTATGATACATTACCAAAGTTTATCCACATCAAAGTTTATCATTATTTATAATTAGATAGACATTAATTATAATTTCTATTAAAGTCTATCATTAAGTAACTTCAACTTCATTCAGTTTTTATGAGTTGTATATAAACATAAGTGATTTTTGTGTCATAAGTTTAATTTATTTTTGTGTCAACAAGTCTGCAAAATTTGGATTTATTTGTACATATGAGGAAGCATTGTCAAATGTACATGGCACTGCATTTTGAGTCCAGGGATTTTCTGTCATATTCTTTATATTCATTTTTATAGATTACAAAAATTAAGATCAAAGTTTATTGTATTATTATTAATATTAAAATTATGCATTATTTCTTTTCTATTTATAGAACTTCTTCCTAAAATACTTTCTCAAATATGACATGATTTTTTAGCTTCTGAGACATCTTTTAAATAAAAAAATCCAAGTCAATTTATAATTAATGCTCTATTCAGTCCATTTCAAATTAGAGCACCTTTTATTTTAATCTAGCAGCCAAAACCTATACTATTTTCATTGTATTTTCTGAACCTGTTCAGTTTTTGAGAAAATACACTGTATTCATTCTTTATTTCCATGTGACAAACATAAAGCTACATTGAAATGCACTTAGTTTTTGGCATTTGGTAATGAATTCGTGTCATTGTTTTACTGTTTTTGAACCTTTTTAAAATACTGTGATGAAAACTTATGATGCGGTCCAGGTCAGATCATGTCGCAGCTTTAATGTTATGTACCCAAAATAATCGAATGGAAACAAATGCACTCACTTAGAAATACGCATGCAGAATTTTCCTTAACCACTCAGCTCTTCTAGGTGGTGATGTAGGTAAAGAGTAAGTAGTGACATTATTATTTTTGTCGTAATATGCTATTAGAAGAAAATAATTGAAATAAAGAATTCCTAATGTACTATGTTTCAATGTTAAAACGAAACACTTGGATAGGCTTGAGAACAGCTACAAATTTTCCCAAATCTAAAAATTAAAAAGATATAAAACAAAATGTACATAAAACTATTATTTACCATTACATAAAACTTATTAGAAGCTATTTAAAATCATTCAGAATAGCAAAATAATCCACTTCAAACATAATCTGACACTAAACATTATAAGGTGTGCTTACCGAATAATGACGTCATAACAGAGATATCAAGTTATTGACATCATGGTAAAGGTTTTTTCCCCTCCAATCTGCATTGAGGTAAAAAAAGCAGACGATTCACTCAACTTTTCTTTCAAGTTCACGATACATTGTTATTTTCTGAGCTTTGTCATTTCACAAGATTGTTTAATGCTGCTTATTTTTTTATCTAGATACTTTGGATAAATTTAAAGTATTTTAAATTTCAGCACTTTTAATGGAATAAAAGATAACACAATCAATATTTTACTGCTTGCAATGTTGAAAAACATATACACATTGCATTGACAGTAATGCAAAAAGTGTAAATTTTGAAAAGATGGAGGCAGGTATTACTCTTCGGTTTATAGCAGAATCGTATGGAATTAAGACTCGGACCGTGTATGATATATGGGAAAATAAAGAAAAGCTTCTGAATTTTTACAGCATGAATCAGAAAGAACTTTGAGATGAAATCAGAAAACATCAATGATGTCTTGTGCGAGTGGTTCCGGGTACCAATTTTAGGACCACTCCTGAGAGAAAAGGGAAAGCAGATTCATGCTGATTTAAAAAATAAGGGACCATACAATTTCAGCAGCAGTTGGCTGAACAGATTTAAGCAAAGACATGGTATACGTTATCTGAAAGCATGTGGGAAAAAACTTTCAACAGATAAATATGCTGCAGAGGAATGTATTGATGAATTTTCTATGTTAGTGGCAGGAGAATATCAGCCCAGAACAGGTTTTTAGTTGGGCGAGATGACTTTTTTTGCGATATTTACCTAGCCATCTGTGATGACAAGGGGTGAAAGAAGCTAAAGAAAGTTACAATTTTAGTATGCAGCAGGAACTTACAAATGTAAACCAGTGTGGAACTGGGTAAGAGCACCAATCGCAGAGCCCTGGTTCATGAAACAACTTATGACCGAATGGTTCATGTAGCATGTCGTTAAAGAGGCTAGAAGGCATTGTAACATTGTGGGGTTACCATCAAGTTGCAATTATAGTAATTGTATTTACTATTACATTGTGATCATTCTATTTCACTTTGTTTACTGAAATTGAGTGATTACAGTGAATTTTCTGGTTTTAAGGCAGCAAATTAAGCAAAAGAATTGCTTTTATATTCAAAAGGAAGAATAAAGATATTGTAAATAAATAAAAAAAAAATAATAAAGAAGATATTATTTCAATGGATGATGTTATCAGATAACCGATGAAATCATTAACTCTGTGTTGAACTTGCAACAGCAAAACGATACAGACAGACAGTGAGAAATATCTTTTAATGCGGGTTTGGAACACCTAAAATTTTTAGAACAGAGCTGTGTCACACATAGATTATGTTATATAATATACAAAAAAGAACTTGCTCTGGAGCACCCTAAAGTTTTAAAACAAACTTCTATCAGAAAAATGTTTGAAACGTAAAAAATGAAACATTTTATGCTTTATTAATAATTTATAAAAAAGAACTTGCTCTGGAGCACCCTTAAGTTTTAAAGCAAACTTCTATCAGAAAAATGTTTGAAACATGTAAAAAAAATGAAACATTTTATTCTTTATTAATATCCATGTAATCACATAATGTAAAATAATAATTATATGAATAATACATATAAAATAATTTTAACACATGTAATAATGTATATAAAAATTTATTTAAACATTACATTTATACACATTACCTTTTGATTTCTCAACTTTTTCTTCTTTTGACAGCTCATTTGATTATTATTTTCATATTTCAAAATTTAGGTTCATTCCAAATAAAATTCGCCTACTTTTTAAATTTATTTATAAATAAATTTTTTGAATTATAACCTATAAAAGTTTTGCCATCTTAAAGTAGATGTACTTCTAAGCATACCTGCAAAAAATTTCTAAGAGTTTTTTATTCAAAATTTTCTAAGATATACACAAATTTACATGGTTTGAAATTTGGCATCTTTTTTTGAGCGATAACATCAAATGTAGTTTATGCATTTTGTTACAGTTAACTGCCACAGCTATTTTTTAACCTTAAATTTCAAATACATTTTTACAGAGATTTATATGAAATTTTTTCCCTCAATGATGCGTAATAAATATTTATTAATACTATATGAAAAGCTATTTTTTTTTAAATAAAGATGATATTATTCAAACTTAAAACTTCCTTTATAAATATTTGCAAGAGTAAATTTTTACTTTCGCTGTGTAACTTTGCTTTAACTTCATTTAAATTGAATTGTCTAAAACTGTTCACAATGTTTTTTTCATGATGTCCCAGTTTTTTTTAAAAAAATATATTATATATTTTACATTAATCCTTTTAGAAAGAATGTTTTAAATATGCATACTTGCCAACCTATGACACTCAAAAATCAGGAGATTTTTCATAATGTTTAAGACTTTTTAAATGATAAAAATATAGTTTTTAGTAAAGAATTAACTTTAAATAGTAACTAATTCTTAAATGCAAGCAAAAAAAAAAAAAAAAACCTTACACATAAAAAACATTTTTATTACTTGCATCGTTTATGAAAAAAAAAAAAAAAAAAAAAAAAAAAACTTTAATCAGTTTTTGTAAAAATGTTATAAACAGTGGCAGATTTTGCTTTCTTTAAGAAAGAAACTTCATAATTTTTGTTCACAGCAATTGAACTGCCACGTAGGCCTGCTTTCGCTAATAAAAGTTTTTCTAATGTGTCATCACTAATATTAGATCTAAATTTAGTCCTTGTTTTCTCAACAACACTGAGAATCCTCTCACACTCTGCATTACTATGGGGAACTGTCAAGATGGCCAACACAATTCTAGACAGTTCACTATATTTTAACATTCCATCAGCATCTTTCAGTTTTCCAATTAAACTCCACTGGGTGTCAATCCTAGCTGATTTTATAACTTCATCCAAGTTTTCTAATTGTAAACTGTTGTTATGCAGCTGTTGGAATTGTTTCAATTTTTCCTTCCTTTTAGAACTCCTTTCAAGATAATAATAAATATCAACAATGTGTTCATCCACATTTATGGGTAAAGAAGCTGCCCCTTTTTCAGCTGCTAAATTTTAAGAGGTGGAGGTGACAGGTGCACCTCATAATCTGAAAATCTGAATTTTCATTTCTTAAGATGCCTGCAACACCAGTCTTCCAAGCC